GAACCCCTCTAGTACAGGGACTAGTTCTGTGCAGCCCCTACAACAAGTACAGGGAGCATGCTTAAAGCAGAAGACAGTGACCCTTCAAAGCAGGGAAGGCTGACCTAAGGAAAAGACAAAGTAAGCAAGTTGAGAAAGCTGTTGGTTTGCTCTGAAGCTCTTTTGAAAACAGACAATTATCACAGAGTGCGAGCACCACTGTCAGACAGGTTATTAGGATGGATTTGGGTGGAGGGGAAGTAGGTAGCGGTGCTTCAGCAGGGGATGCAGGACCACTGGCGAGGCAAACATCCATAGGATTGTGGATGCAGCATTCCTTAGGAACTGTGTGGCACCTGTGGGGAAGCCCTGAGGAGGATTTGAAAGGGCTAGTGTGGTCACAGCTGGGGGCAGTGACTGTTTTGGTGTCAGCCTCCTAGAACAATAGACTCGGGAAGGAAAGAGGTAGCGAAGTCAAAGGGGGAGAGTGCAGGACCTGGAAGAAGACTTCCAGCTGGTAGGAGAGAAAGGAAACGCAGGGAGGAAGGGACCATAGGATCTGTGAATAGCTGGACCCAGTGAATGCGCTGGGACTGAAGAGGAGATTATGGGCCCCCCCACTAAGGGGGAAGTGGTGCTCACCATCACTACAGTGCTGGAGGAGAAAAGAAGTCTCAGGCTGCAGCTGTAATTGCCGTAAGCTGACAGACTGACAAACCACTCTGCAAGCAGAGTTACTGGATGATGAAAAACAGGAGGCCAGTAAAATGGATGTGCTGAAAGCAGCTAAGGTGGTTTGGCCTGAAATGTAGTTTGGAAAAGTTCACTGGAGCCATGCTGCTTAGTCGAGGTGTTCCAGCAGAAAACCACCCCCACCCCCCTTTCAGCAAGGATTTTTTCATCTTCTCTAGAAACAACTCATATTCATCCTCTTCAATATTCTAAGAACCTAGGTAGCTTGGTAAACAGTCTCATTCCCTTGCAGCCCATGAGCTTTCCAGCTCCTGAAAGCCTGGCCCTGGGCAGCAGCACAACACTTGGTTGCAAGCCTTTTTCTGTTTCTCCTCTTTTTTTTGTGCAAGGTTCCTCTGAAGACGCTTTACCTCATATCATGTAGCCTTACTATTCTTCTTTTGCACAGCCTTTCCTGCCAGCCTGTAGTGGGTATTTTCCAACCACATTTCCATGGGTCAAGATGGAGTTGTGGCACAGGTTCAGGCCCATGACCAGTCTGCAGCCAGTCTCTGTGCAGTTACCCTAGCAGCCATCACCTACCAGTCCAAGTGGAGTGTTCAAGCCCGTTCTAACTCCAGCGCCAGCTTTCTTCACGAGCACAGGGGAATTTTGCAGCCTGCTGCCCATAAGCATAGCATTACCAGCTCTAGAAATGCAACTGAGCAGCCCCAGTTTATGCGCTTCAGTCACGGAGAACCTGCCTGAAATAGCAGAGCTGAGCTGTGCGTGGCTGTGGCCTTGGGCTGGATCTGCAAACAAGGCAGGAGCAAAGAGAGTGCAGGACCATTTGTAACAGTTCTGAGGGGTCTCTGTGCAGGATTGCCACGTACGTGCACCCGCCTCAGCTCTTCCTGCCAAAGAAACCAGCCACAACAAGGACACGGGATGGGGAAGTGAGATGGAAAGGAAAATGAAGCACCCGTGGCCCCAAGCTCAAGGCAGGGCTGTGGGAGTACCACCAAGAGTTAGAAGCTAACCGCAACTCTCAGCTGCCATCAGAGAACACAGCTGTCCTGTGGGCTCTGCGACCCACCTTTTGATTACAGGGCAGAAACATCGTTAATGGGTCAAACAAGCTCAGCTGCTGCTTTGGGGAAATGGGTGTGATCCATCATAGAGAATCTTTAACTTCCTCTTCCTAGAAAATGCATGATGAAAACAAAATCCAAGCTTTGCGTGATACTTTAGAAATTCTTCTCTAGGAAGATGTCAGAACCAAATTAATTATCTGCCAACCACAGATGTACAAGCTTTCCACAAGGAGTGGCTTTATTAAAAAAAAAAAATGACTGGGTAATGTTTTCACTGTGTTGCCCATCAGGCACAGAGACACATCTGTATGTTTTTACTGAAGCCATGAGGGAAGAATAGGCTTTGCTGGCTGCCTGGAATTCAGGCACAGCAATTAGTTCATGCGTGCATCCCTGTTCACACACAAAACTTTTGGCATTGCATGGATAACAAGTTTCAACTAGAGCCTTTGTGGTTACCAACACCTCCTTTGCTTCTATGGAAAACTACGTCTCCAGGCAGAGCTATTAGTTTAATTTAAGATCATTAGGTGTGTTTGGTGTTTTTTTTTTTTTCCCCCTCCAGCTGGTTCTTTACTACACAGGCTCTCTTTTCCTAATCCATTTGGTTTGGGGTAGCCAGGACTAAGTGCCATGCCAAAATTTGTGAGGTACAGTCCAGCCAAGCAATTCTTCATTCTCGATGTGTTGTCTCCTGTCCATGACTTCAGCTCTTGGCAGGAACTTCTGATGTGCAAACATTCCTTTAGGGGACTTGTTCACATAAGCTGCAGTATGTCACTCTTTCTGGAAACCTTCAAGCAGCCCATTGTGATCAGGTGGTTGTGTTTTCCTAGGACAAACAAGTCTGTTCAGACTCTGTCCTGTGGAATTTGAGGTTGTTTGTAGTGTAATCAGAGGCCCTGTCCGCTGGACATTTCTGTCCTCATAGCAGGCTCTAGCCACTCCTAACTCCATCCCTAATTATAGCCTGACTAGAACTCACAAGAGGAATTGAAGTCAAGCCTCCATGTTATCCTCCATAACTCTTCTAGAATTTTTTGACCTTACATGAAAGGCTAGCATTAGCATTTGAAAATACCCAGGCTAACAAGGTACATTTCAGGATTCATTATAGCACATCTCAGGTCATTTTATCCCTGACTGGTTTTGTCTCTGTTATCTCACAAGCCTGGCAGGCATGCTCTCCTCACATCATGTGTGTTAGGACAAAGCAGCAACAAATTATTCAGTTGTGGGTCAGCAAGTGGAACACCTGCAATTACTGTACACCACTGATGATACTTTACCTGGGACATAGTACTGAAAGCAGAGACTAGATCTTTAAATAAATCCAAGTGCTTATATACCAACACCTCTATTACATGGCATAAGCTTAAAGGTTTCTTCAAATTATTGGACCTAGAATAATGGGTAAATTTATAGCTAAATCCAGGCTTTTTTCTTGTCTGTTGCTTAGATCTTTAATTGCCTTTTGGGAATACTTTATCTTTTCCTGAGAAATGACATTACTAATTAAGAAAAAAATGCTTTAGCTTTGTTTTTCTGGTTTGCATCCCTCCCTCCCCCATTCATGAAGTACAGTGCTAGGGATACTTTGGAGCAAGATCCTTCAACAGCCAATGCATTTCTGTGGTCTCACAAAAGTGCTAAACAGCATTAGTCTCAGATCATTTTGTCCATGGCAGACTACATTTCAAGGCATCCAGTGTGCTGTTAAAGGTTAATTTCTTCTGTGGCAGCCAGGCACGCAACAAGATGTTTGTGATACTTTAGTCTCTCCTAAGTTCAGAATGTTTGAATCTATCCATCCCCACCTCCTTTTCAGTCTGCACTTGTTAAAACATCCATTTTGGTTCACTAGCTGCTGTTAACATCTATGGTCATTTAATCCCAAATGCTCACCTGTGACTTCAGACTTCCTTCCCTGTATCACGCCTTTTCCAAACAGCTCTGAAGCAGTTCACCCGGTGTGGTTGGCGGAGGCTTGACTGAGTTTTGTGAGTCTGACTTAACGATGTTCCTCACACGTGCTCACCCAGAGTAAGAATTTCACTACAGAAGGCTACTACAAACTCACAACGCATCTCAACAACAGTTTCAAGCAGATGTAGTAAGTAAACCACTTTTAAACTATTAATTTGTTTTTCCAAAAATGGTAGCTTTCCTTTTTGTGTTCCCTCAAGCTCTTGGGCTTATCCTATACAGAACATGTCCATCAGTCCTCATGTTTGAATATGCAGGGCAGTAGGATCAGGACCTCACTTTGCCTCAGCAGCTTTCAAGGGCAGAAGGACAGGCCAGATAAAGAGGTTTTGATAGGTCCTCCGTGCTGAATGGCACTTAGCAACTGGGCATAAGTACACCTGCAGCAGTTCAGGACCAGAAAGAGAGTTAACCCTCTACAGCTAATGTTGTGCCAGCCAGCAGGTAGCTCCCACACTCTGCTGCCCTTCTTCACAGCGTAGGGGTCTTTGGTAAAGCAGGGAGTGCACTTCTAGCATGCACGAGTCAAGAATACGTAGGAGAAGGAAAAAAGCGTGTCTGCTGTGCACTGAGTGTTCATGAAGAGAGGTATAGCCAAAATGATCTACAAGCATTAGAAACACCAACACATACCAGTGCATTTAGAGGTCCTAAGTAGACAGCACCGAAATGTTAACTTTTTGTTAATACCAGCCTTCAGTTTGTGACAAGGCCCATTCTAGCTCAGGGAATGTTCAGTCAACTCCGACCTGCTGCCAGACAGTTCCGTTCACAACTTGTTAGCCTGAAAAACCACATCATGCAAGACAGAAGCCTCTTTCTCCTGTCCCCAAGCTACACTATCATTCACTCCTGGTGTTATCCCAATAAATCTGAGGGCAGTGCTCCATCCAGGTTGTTGAAGCCATATCACTTATAGCAGCTGCCTTAACCAGGGGAGCCAACAAGCCTGCAGGTGAAGGATACTGAAGATTTCTGAAGATGTGGGAGAATAAATAGATTTCTGCAGTCAGCTTAACTGAGCCAAAAAGGGGAAGCAATACTAGAAGTTCCCTATTACCCTGCACATCCAAAGTTCCTTGAAGAGGAAGCCTGGGGGCAGGGCAGACCCCACCACCCTATGGATGCATGTGCATCGAAACCAAGGAAGTCTGCTTTCTCTGTGCTGAAGAGTTGTATGCGTCACTTATTTCCTTTCACTGAGTGAAAGACAAGAGGATCTGTTCCCTTCTGCACTCCTATAGTGTTCACAGTCAGAGAAGTCTTTACTCATCCTTGTTTATTTATTAGAAAATCCCTACAGGTCTAGGCGTTTAAAGTGAAGCATTAGTTACATGGAATACGTGCCCTCAAAGTCCAGAAATGGCTGGATATACTGCAAAGGTAAATTGGGGCCAACAGTGACCCAGTGACCTCTGCAGGAGATGCTGGTATGGCTGTGAGACACTAGCAGGGCAGCAGCAATCATGATCCAACCCTCTCAACATAGTTAGCAGGATAGAGTCCAACTTGGCCAGTGAGAAGTCGGCCCTTGCACCAGCCCTGCTCATCTTCCTCACTAATCTTCATTAGTTCTTCACCTAAAAGCAAAAACAGTCATTAGCAAGCAGCCTTGAGAAAGGTAGTAGGGCATTTTTCCCCCACCTCCAAAGAGTTGATAAAAAGCAAGAGCTATTGTCTGAATCACCACACTTTTCTCCCCTTATCACACTCTGTATCATACTGCACAGTTTAATCAAAGCCAGAGTTACTGACCTCTTCAGTATCTATGCTCAGTACTATCCCCTAGGCCAAGGAACTTAGAGACAAACCTTCACTTCTGCTGTCCAACATAAAAAAATATTTTTGTGCCCTGTATTTCTGCCTGCTTTCCGCCCCACAGGAGAATGTGCTTACAAGCCAGAGAGATCAGAAGGATCTCGGAGACTTCTTTCTTAGGGGCTCCTCTGTAGCAGGTGGGAAGGAAATGCAAGAGGCTGCTAAGCTCTGGCTGTTAGAACCCAAAATGACTGTTCCATGATGGAGTGTCTGGTTTGGCCAGCAAGGCATGGAATCAACTCATTTCTCAGACTATGACCAGGAAAGGCTTTTAACCTTCCCACATCTACTTTGGGAAGGGGCAGAAAGGTCCCCTTCCCCACCAGTAGAAGGTCATACTTCTGCCAGAGAGGGAGGTCTGACTGCATGAGTAGGCACATCCCACACTGGCAGAGGCTGAGAAAGAAAACGATCTGCTGTTAAGCTGAAGCCCTACTGGTGCATGCTGCTCAGAGCAGATTCAAAAAGGGGATGACTAAAGCTAACCAGTCATGCCTCATTACATCTGCTAGGTGGAAAGAGAGAGCAAAGAGTCAAGCTCTAGAGCCCCCATTTTGTAAGATATTTTAAAGCAACAAGTTAGTGTTAGGAAGTTTACCAGTATGGTAACACTGCAGCATAGATATTAGCCTCAGACACAAGCCCTTGCTACTGCAGGACTTCAGTGCCTTTTTAAAACAGGTGTGTTTTGGAGAGGCATAGCACAGAGATACCATGTAGGACTCAAAACAAGCAAGATAAGAGACACTCTCAAGATCCAGATGTCCTCTTGGAGTTGGAGAAGATGGCACGTGCAAACTAAATTTAACTGAAGGAATAAAAAGGGGAAGGATCTGTTTGCTCCAGCATCCTCTCTCACTCCATCCTCTGCTGCAAACCAGGATCTCCGCTCTCAAGACATCCATTTTAAGCAACAGTTTGCTTAGCTGTTTTTTTGCCAGCTGAACTCTCCTTTCAGTAGTGCACATCAGTCAGCTGAGCTTTCTCCCAAAACATGTCTTCTGGTTACTTCAAAGGACAATCCAGACCACCTATATAATTTTTATATCAATGGCACAAGGGAGCAGCATTTAACAAAGTCTCAAGATACAATGCCGAATAAATGCCTTAAGAAGAGGCAGGAAGGATCTGTTTTACCACTTAGGGTCCGCTCTCCCTACACTGTAACCAAGGCCTAGGCAGTATCTTTTTATGTGGCCTCACTGTCTTAGTCCAGAACAGGTTGGACTTCCCAGTGTATCATCCTCCTCAGAGGAGCTGGCAATGGGTCAGGCCAGGAGAAGAATAAGTATCAGTTTTCAAGGGGACATCCAGTTCTTAAAGAGCGTTTCAGTCATTCAGTCAGCCCGAGTGAGGACAGCAAGAGGTTAGTAAGAGATTAGTGCTTCTGTACCTGCTTTAAAGCTCAGCTCATCAGCCTCCTGTCCTGTGTAATCATACAGCGCTCGTACCCGTACACCTGGTACCTTTATGTCCTCCTCGTGCCCGTTGGCATCCAGGCACTTCTTGGGAGTGTCCTCATCTGACCACTCCGAAATGTCTTCCTTCCCTCCGCTTTGTATGTGGAAGGAGAGAGGGGACAAGATGGTTGTTAGCAGACTCGTCTCTCACCCACCTCCTCCCGAATCATGCACCACCCTGACTACCCCCCAAGACTGCTATGCTATAGAACAAGGTGCAAGAGGCCCAACAGCCAAGTGAGGGTGAAGAGGGAGGAGAGATCCCAGGAGATACTAGATTTGGTTGAAAGCATCCCAGCATTAGAGCCCTGAGGGCCAGGAGGGTAACTTATTCTCAAAGTATTTTCACACATGCACACACTTCATGACCTTGTCCTACTCTAGCAAGCCCTCTCACACAAGGAAGGCCAGTCCTAACTGGAGAGCCCAGCTGTGTCCAGGGTTATTCCAGCCAAGAATAAGACGGATAGGAAAAGACACATCTCCCATCCAAAGAGATATCTGGAATGCCATTTTCCAAGTCAGGAAAAAGAGCAGAGAGGAAGAGCAGCAGAGGACAGGCACCTGGAACCCCAAAACCCCTGGAGAGGCTACGTTCCATACTAACTTCACGTGGGTGGGTGACCTCAGGCTGTCATAGAAGAGGCTGTTCTGCTCCTCTTGATAGGAAAACCTGTAGATTGGTAAATAGGGCCCCTGAATCCAATAGACTGTGAAATACAGTAGTGGCCTTGAGACATCTCTATATCCCTATTCTTTTCTGCCCAGTTCACTAGGCCAGAGTTCACCTTTTAAAGCAGGATGGCTACTGGAACTGTAGGACATGAGTCTCTTCAGCCTCTCCCTATTCTCCAGCTTGCTTCCTGGCAAGGGAAGCAGCTATACCCAAACTTGTCAGGTAGTATGCAGCACCATGGCGGGGGGCACTGAAAAATCCGATGCCTGCATTTAGGAAGCAGTACAGCTAACTGACAAACCTGCCAGTTCCCAACTCTCCTCACCCTGTGTGGGAAGAACAAGAATTTGGGAAATGCATGCCAGATTCTCACAAAGTACTAGGCTGACTGGGCCAAATCTCATCACTAGAAGGATCTTTACAAGGAAGGCACCTCGTGAGGCAGTATGTACTAGACAAAAAAAAACCCCAAAACAGGAAGTTAAGGAAGAGATCACTCTTGTCAATCCAACTCATTTATGACCCTAGGCAGGACTGTACTTTTCCTAACCTGATGTATCCCAGACTTCAGACCTTACCTTTGCCTTGTCTGCAGAGGGGTCTGTGAGACAACACCATCCCGTGTAGGCAAAATGCTGGTCAGCGTGACATCGTCAGCCATCTTACCACTCTTCTCCTTCTTGGTGATTGGCCGCTGTGTTTCAAGGGACCATTCCTGTTCAGGGAAAAGCAGTTAACACCATCAGGGCACTCAGATACAAAAGCCCTGTGCATCTTTTCAGACCAATATGGAAGGCCAGAACACCAGGTCATACTGCCGTTGTGGCTGGGCTGGTCAGCCCAATGGCCTCGCTGGCGTAGCAGGCTCACTCCTGTTGAATCCCAAGGGGTAACAAGAGGGGCTGTGAGAAAATTACAGCAGGAACTCGTCCCAGGGCCCTGAGCACCAACTCCTGTTCTTTGACCTTGCAGCTGGACGCCTGGAGTGTTTGCAGTTTGGCAGGGTTGCAGGTGTCCCTTTGGGCACCAGAGAGCTTGCAACACACCAAAATTTTAGGAAAAGCCTCATATCCTCAGCCTGCCAAGCAAAGACACAGTCTTTCCAACCCAAGACTAGCAATCCACCAATTTCAGTAAAGCAGCTAAATGTTTGGAAATAGTAATAATACACTCTAGAATGCTACATCACCTCAAACTGAGGCCAGTTCATCGCCATGCCTGGTCCATGAGTGTTGCGCCACCACTTCAGGTCCTCCTGGTTGTCCGCAGCCATGATGACTTGATAGAGATCTCGATACAACGCATGAAAGCTATGACCAGGAACAGATAGAACCACCAGTAACCAAGTCCCTCAGCAGTTTCCCAAAAGCCCAGTAGGAAGGAAAAGTCCCACGGGACTAAGGATGCTAGAGCAGCACCTGTTTAGCCCTAGGAAAACAGAGCCACCCTCACAGAAGGGTCAGCCTGGCAAACGGGACAGGCTGGTTTGGTGTGGCAGTGGCTAACATCTGCCAACTCCCAGCACAGCTCATCAAGTGAGTTTTGAAACAGCCTGACATGTTCTTGCACACAGACAAGGAGGTGGCTCAGATTTGTTGCCTCTACCTTAAAAGTACAGGAGCACAGAAGATTTTCATCTGCACCCATTTCCCTCGTGTAACCCTTACTAAAGGGCAACTTGTGGGCTTATGGTTATCATTATCTCACAAAAGCTCTCTTGACTCAAGGCAGAATGGGTGTAATAGCTATAGATACTAGAAGGCAACAGAGCTGCATTCCTCAGACTGGGATAGCAACACGGATGCATTTCCTAGAATAGAAACACACCCAACAGGACAGTACTGGACAGTGGTGGAAGAGGAAGGGTTCAGAGGCAGAAAGAATCCTCTCTGGGGAGCCTGGCACTGTCCAAGATCAGAGACACCAACACTGGTCAGTCTAAAGGGACCAAATGCTAGTTCTAAAGACACACTTGGAAGGGGAAGGAGCAAGACCTGGCAGATGCAAGCAGGCAGCTCCCTTTCACAGACACTGGAACTGGCACCCCTCACCAGAGCCCAGGGCACCCAAGGATGGCAGAATTCCCTCCTGTGTCAGGGCTGGTACCTTTCACTGGTGGAGAGGTTAAGATGCTGGTGCAGATTCAGAAACATCTCCTTAAAGAAGCACAATCGCTTGCGCTCTGCTTCCTGACAGCCCTCAAACACTTGCTCCATGTCCTCCATGTAACGGGGATTGTAGCGGTTACATCTTCTCATATTGATCCTTGCACTGTATCAACCCAGAAGGACAGCAATGGTGAGATGTGTTACCTCGATCCCAAACTACGCTCCCTCTGCTCTGGTTTGGGACTGACAAGTTTTTTCCCCCTGCACTGCTGAACAAATATACCGCAGGAAGAAGAAACTCCACAGCTGGTATCCCAGTCCATTGCTCTCCTAATATTCTTGCAAGTTCCTTACTCTTCTCTGCCACCCTCTTCCACAGAGGGCCTTCTGCACTTTCACTCTTGTGGGCAGGCAAACCAGCCACTTTTGGTAGCCAAATCTTCAGCTCCGCAGCTCCCACCGCCAGCACCAAATCCTGTACTTTTTTTTTATTTACTTATAAATTAGATCTTACCCAACACCAAAGACAGAGAGACCTTAGTCTTAGTTACTGAAGTCTTGGTCTAACTCACTAAAACCTCAGACGATGGGATCTCACACCTTCTTACAGGCTTCAGCAGGAGCCAT